GCTACTGTCAAATTCTAGAACTATTTCCCCTTTTCAGGAGAAAGAAATTCCAGCATGGTATTTTCCTCAGAAATCTCTGCCCAGTGATTGAGTAAGGATGAAGGAGCCTAAGGAGAAAACAGTGTGTGTCTCTCAGAGGGCCTAAACAAAAGGCAACGGGTTCTGAGACGGGGGTCTTTGGGGGTTCGTTAGAAACCCCCGCTATTTGAACTGTTTAGCACTCCGAGGCAGGGCTGCTTTACAGCAGCGGGGTTGAGCACCAAGAGCGTAGCTGTGGTGTCAGTAAGGACACAGATTCATCCCCATCCAGAGTGTTGTTTCTCCGAGCCGATTAAAAGGGAGGGTTGGCAGAGCCCCCTGTAGTTCCTCAGAGCCTGGCCGTTGGGGTTAAGAGGACGTTGGAAAGGTTGCTTAGAGGCCTGAAGGTGCCTGCAGTGCTTAGGCTTTAATTATCTTTTTTTCCAATGTCCTGGCTTTTTGCAGTAATAGCAGAGACCAAGAGGTTTTGTTTGGCGGGGAGGGTGGGGCCTCCATTTGTTGAATTGTCTAGCGTGCAAACGCGCTGATTTACCAAATTAACCAAACCTGGAGTGGACAGGGTTTCCCATTCCATCCTGGTCCTTTTTTTTTTGGCTGCGTTGGGTCTTCACTGCTGTGCACAGGCTTTCTCTAGTTGCGATGGGCAGGGGCTACTCTTCCTTGTGGTGCGTGGGCTTCTCATTGGGGTGGCTTCTCTTGTTGCGGAGCACGGGCTCTAGGCACGCAGGCTTTAGAGCACAGGCTCAGTAGTTGTGGTGCACGGGCTTAGTTGCTCCGCGGCATGTGGGATCTTCCTGGACCAGGGCTCGAACCCATGTCCCCTGCATTGGCAGGTGGATTCTTAACGACTGCGCCACCAGGGAAGTCCCCATCCTGGTCCTTTTAACTGAAAGAGAATCCCCATTCAGCCCATTAATGAACACAGAGTTAAAGGCAACCCAAGCAGATTCAACATCCAAGAGAAGACCAGAGTTTTCTCTAAAGACAGTCTGAAGACAACTACAATGGCCGTGAACAGGTTTTATAGGTTTTGCATGCAAAGCCTGAATTTTGTTCCAGTCATCATGCTTAGGAAAACCTTTTGAAACTCTTAAGTGAAAATTTCTAGCAAGTTCTTGGATTTCCTGCTAACAGTCAGGGTTTGTTTTTCCAAATCCCTTTCAGGATTTTCCCATCAGGCAACTTTCATCCAATGTTGGGCCTGAGCTTCACCAGCAAGCATGTGGACTAATTGATATAAATCTGAGAAGCCAGGTTGATAAGTTTATAAGTGGATAAGTTCTTCAGCAAATCCATGGGGGTCCTCAGTTACTTTGGGAAAATCTTTGACTATAGCTAGAAGTTCAGCTTTAGTCCAGGCAACATAAGTAACTAGGGATTTAGCATCTAGACCCCTAGAAGGCTTAGCTTTAAAAGGGCAGGACTTAATAAGTTCAGGGGAGGGGGAAACAGGGAGAGGTTTGGAGAAAAAGGGGAGTTCAGCAAGAGGGTTAGGAGCAGGTGGAGGGCCCAGAGGAGGTGAGGATGGGCAGAAGGGGAGGGAAGGTGGCGCAGGGGCACAAGGGGCGGGGGCGGGGGAGAGGCCTCAGAGCCGTTTTGTCTTCTTTCAGTTTGTTCTCCTCTGTTAGTCTAGGAATGGTGTTTTGTAAAGAGGCAGTTTTATTAGAGTCCTGGATGTGTTTGGAAGCTCCAAGGTACCGATTAAAATAAGCATCCCATTCAATCTGTTTAGTTTTAGAGCCGTCGCTTTCTAATTTGGTTCTGAGAGAAACAAGTTTGGAGAGGTTGAAAGTTCCCCATAATGGCCCTTGGTATTCTGAAGTATTTGAGGTTAAGTCAGTCTATTTAGTTTAAAATGTGCATGAGGAAGGACCATAGTTTTTAAACATAAAACCAGCCAGGGCCCCCGAAGGAGGGTGCCCTTAGAGCATTTAGGTGACTGGGGTCCCATTTCTTAGAGCTTGTCTCAAGAGCAAAAGAAAAATCCCTAAACAGCCTGATTCCAGTGGAATTTTACCAAAATTCTAGCACACTTCCAATAGGGGGAACAAATGAGTGAGTACTCACCTGAGGGACAAAGCCTTCCCAAAAAGAAAACAAGCAGATCCCAATAAAGTCAGAGCACTCAACCAAAAGGAGGGAGCTGACCCGGAAAGAGGAGGCTTCCTGGCCAGGAAGGAGGAGGGCTCTCGCTGCCCGGAGGGGAGGGGAGGGGAGGGGAGGCGAGGGGAGCGGGGCACGGGGCACGGGCGGCTGTCACATGTGGGTCCAGGCTCCGTCTCCTCCAGAACCCACTTCTGCACACCATGCGATGTCAACCTTAGAAATAAAATAGCCAGTTGTTTTTGCCAGCAAAATGAGCTTATTCCACAATGGCAGAGGAATTGCAGTTTGGGACATGCAAACTGGTGAAAGCACAGGTGAGCCTGAGGACAAAGGAGAGGGAGAAACCTTATTTTACAGAGGAAAGGGGCACTTGGGAGGGGCTGCTTTGAACCTAAGTCCATTGGAGGAAAGCGAGGGTTTGGGGCGGTCACAGCATCTCATCGGCTGGGCTGTTACTGGACCAGGAGAGAGTGTCCCTTCTGCTGCCGGGGCAGCCAAGTCTGCTGCTCCCTGCCCGGATGCAGGAAGTCCATGCCTGAGACCCTCCCTGCGGGGCCTCTGGCTCCATTTTAGATGAGTTTCTCTTCACTGATTTGCACAGTGTATTGTCCCTTCTTTTCATCAGTTTGAGGGGTATTTTTGATTCATCTATAAGCTCTCAATAAGCTACCTTTGTATAGCTAAATCCTAATTCCCTGACCGGGGATCGAACCCAGGCCCTCAGCAGTGAAAGCGCTGAGTCCTAACCACTGGACCGCCAGGGAAGTCCCATAGCCCTTTTTTTGAAGGGCTTTAAAATATACAGCTTCAAACTTTTGTCAGCCATCTTAGTTTTCCTTAAACAGTTTTGGAGGTTTTGTTTTTTTTATAAAGGATTTTTTCCCACATGAGATTACTGTGTCCTTATGTCTAGAATGATCTCACTGCCAATTATAATGTCTATACCCTCCATTTAAAAAAAGTAAATATCTTAAATGTCTAAAGCAGTGCTTGACTGAAGGGTATTCAAGGCTCGAATTGCTAAGTTCCCAGTTTCCTGGCTGCCCTCCTGCCCCACATGCCTCTCTCTTACAACCTTGGCATTTAGGAAACCCCAGGGATCACCCCCCAGAATACGCGTAGTCACTGGCCCCACTTTCTCAGCAGCACTCTCCCCATTCACCCTTTCACGTCCCTCAGTTAAACACAGAAGTTTCCAGAGTCCCATCCATCCTGCCTGATGATCCTTCCTGTGCGCTTCCTTTCTGTCCTGTCCACTGATGGTGGCCCCTCTGCTAGGAGCGTGAGGACGGACACGGGCCACATGATGGGTGCGGTGCTAATGCTGAAAAGCTGGGGGAGGAGGCTGTTTGGGGCGGCTTGGGGAGCTGGGTCAGGAGTGTGTTTGTCTGGGTCACATCTGGTGCTTTGAGGATGCCTGCACTCAATGTCAAGTCACCAATGAGATGTGCAAGTTCGGACATAGGATGGTATTTACTTGGGGTTCCTCCCTGTTAGGAGGTTTTCAAAGCCATGGGGCAGGTGGGATGCCTCACAGTGAGTCTAGATAGAGAAGGGAACCTGGAACCCAGCCCAGGGCACAGTCAGGGCCGGACGGGAAGGCGGCCCGAGGCAGGAAGGGGCCCAGGAAGTCAGGACCATGAAGTGTACGTTGCACTCGGCCTCGTGGAGGTCAGTGGTGGCCTGTGACCTTGGCCAAGGGGGCAGCTGAGAAACGGGGTGGGAGCTGGAGACGGAGGCAGGGTCATGGGAGGCTCCTCAGGCTTTTCTGGAGTGTATGCGTGTGTGTGAGTGTGTGTGTGTGTGTGTGTTGTGTGAGTGTGTGACTCTGTATATGAGTGTGAGTGTGTTGTGTGTGTGTGCGTGTGAGCATTGAGTGTATTTGTGTGAGGGTGTGAATGGGTGTATGTGTGTGCGTGTCAGTGTGTGTGTGAGTTTCAGTGTGTTAGTGTGTCTGTCAGTGTGTGTGACTGTGTGAGTGACTGTGTGTGAGCGTGTATGTGTATGAGAGTGTGTGTGTGTGTGAGTGTGAGCGTGTGAGTGAGTGTGCGTGTGTGTTGATGGGGTGATCGGGTCAAGAGAAGGGGCAGGCTGGCTCTGGTGCAGTTCAGCTGGGGCTGCTGGGAGGAAAGGCGGGAGAGGGGCCAGGCCGGCCAGTGGCCAGGTCACCACTGCACTCAAGGAGGATCGTGACGCGTGCTGGAGGGGCCTTTCCCACTGTCGCATCCTCGGTGCTTTCCTGGCTCTAGATGCCCTCGATGCCCACTGTCGTGCACACCCAGTGTTGGCCAGCTCGGCACACACGCTGCCCACTGTCGAAGCATCGTGCTGCCCCCCACCCCCAGTCGTGATCATATACTGCAGTGTGACCTTCTAATGCTCTGTGTCCCTTCTGGGCAGAATTAGAAGCTCCAGCGTGGACAGTTGTAGGCTTCTCCAGGCCGCTGAGCGAGCGTTGAGAGGCATTCTTGAAGTACTGATCGTTGCTCACTCCACTCAGGATTCTGTAAAGCAAGGGGTTTCCTGAAGTGTTCAGGTTCTGGTGGAAAGTCCTTTGACTCACTAGTACAGCATCTTTAGATTGATGTTTTTATCTCGTGATAAACTTTGGGTTTCATTTCAAACCACTAACTAATTGCTCCAAGTATGATTCACGCTGGGGGGGCTGGCAGACCCCATCAAACCTTCACTCCAAGCTCGAGCTGCGACTGGAAGGCCAGAGGGCGGGGACAGCACCGGGGACCCGGCAGCGTCAGAACCCACAGACCTGACACGTACGTGGAAGCGTGGCTGCGAACATCCCTCAACCCTCTACGGAGATCCTGCAGATAAAACGAAAATGTGTTTGCTTTCAGGTTTTGCCAGTTTCCACAAGAAATTGTTCTTCAAATGGTGGAGAGATGTCGAATAAGAAAACTACAGTTGCTTGCTCATCAGTATATGATTTCCAGTAAAATCGAGTTCTACGTTAGTGAGAGCCTGCCTGAGTATTTCGCACCGTATCAAGCAGAGCGGTTTCGAAGGCTTGGGTAAGAATGCAATTTAACATGTATGGTGGGGACTCTTAGCCTAATTCCATCTCAAAGCAATTAAAAACTAAGGAGTCGCCCTTGCCCTTGGCGCTGTCTTACGTACTTGTGTGCGGGTGGAGAGCACACCCCTTCCGAACACCGGCCTGGTGCTCAGCGTGCTTACTGGGCAGTGTTCCTGTCAGTCGTATTCAGGCCACTTTTCAGGGGCAGAGCTTATCTTAAGACAACTATTTAGAACTTGACTTCTGGGCTTTCTTCCCTAGGGTTTTTCGTTCCAAACCTAACAACTTTCCTTGAAACCTGCGGAGCTCAGTGGGCACCGAAGGCAGCGTATTTCCACATCAGCGTGATTCCAGAGTTGTGTTTTTTCTTTCAGCTACGTCTCTCTCTGTGACAATGAAAAGACAGGTTGCAAAGCCCGGGAACTGAAATCGGTGTATGTGGATGCAGTAGGACAGTTTCTTAAGCTGATTTTTCACCAAAACCATATCAACAAGTACAATGTGTATAATCAGGTGAGACACATGGCCCCTCCCCTTGGTGACACCCCTACCCCACCCCCTGCTTTGTGGCATCTGACACTCCTCCTTTAAGGTGGTGTCTGTGGGAGAGTGCTAAGCTCCCTGGAGCTGCGTGCTCCGATTCGGATTCGGAGCCACCAGCCACGTGCGGCTATGCATGCTGGGAGCGTGGCTGGTCCAAGTGCATGGGCTGCACGTGTGACCCAGGCTCGGTTACACAAGGAGAGGAGGATGTTTTGGATACATTAGCTTTAAATATATTGTTAAAATCAAAAAATCAATTTTAAATGTTTCTTTTACTGTGTCGACTAGAAAACTTAAAATTACATATGTGGCTTGCATTATATTGGGTTGGCCAAAAAGTTTGTTCGGGTGTTCGAGGCAACAGCGCACGGAAAATCCGAACGAACTTTTTGGCCAGCCCATTATTTTTGTTGGACAGCACTGTTCTACGTCAACCCCCTAAACTTTTACAAGATAAATCCCCTGGTGGAAATTGAGAGTGCGGTTTAATGATGCACGCAGTCCAGAATCTCTCTAGCTGCCTCCCTCCCTTTCTTTTTATTTTTTTGGCGTAAAGAGTATTAGTGGAAATCAGCTGTGTCCAAAGCAGTCTTGTTAATTAGCGCGGATAACAGCACTCCCTGCCCCCTCCAAGAGGGACGCAAGCATTCCAGCAAGTCAGAGCTTTCTGCTGAGCAAGTGAGCTGAAGGAGAGTTCTGAGACAGAGTCGTGGTGCCTGGTCCGTATTTGACAGCAGAGTTCTGAGCCTTTTCCCTCCTCCACCCCATCTGTGTATTCACCAGTAATTCCTCAGTTTTCAGTTCAGCAACCGTGATTCTCAAGGAAGGGGGTACGCGAAGGCGGCTCCTCCCCGTCAAGTGAGAATCAGTGCCTTGGACAAACCAAGCTATGTTAACGTAGGTTTTCATTTCATTGTCTAATTTACCACGATCATGTAGATGTGACCCCATCCTTAACCTTGAGTGGATGGTTCGATATAAAGCTGGGTTACAACTTTGGAGGTTTTTTAGCTGTATTGTTTTAACATCCTTTAAACATTAAAATACCCTCTTGGTTCAGCATTAGAATATTAACTTATATAATTTATAAAAGTCATTAGTAATTCTATATTAGCGTGAGATTTTACAGTTAAAGCATTTTGCTGTACCTCATCCTGTTTTATGACAGTATGGCTCAGAGTTTGTTATAAAGGGGTTAAGTCATGTCAAACATTTTATACTTAATTTCTGTTGATTAACTCTTTCTTAGGTTGCTTTGGTGGCAATAAATATCATTGGAGACCCTGCAGATTTCAGTGATGAAAGCAATATTGTAAGTTTGGGAAGTTTCATTCCTGAAGAGGGACATTTATTTCTAACAAGAGGGGATCGTTTATTTTTGTCACAAAAGTATCGTCCTAAAAATCCTCACAGATTATCTGGCGAATAGCTAGCAGATCAATTTCAGCAGCTGTTGTATTAAACTTTACTGAGAATTTTAGTTGTCCCTCCAGGGCACTAGGATCATTGAAGCTCCCTGACTGACACCTTTATGTCAAATCATCTCTGTTTTATGTTGTTCCTTTTCTCTCTGAGATACTAAGCATAACTTTTTCCCCCAAAGACCTCTAGAGAGAAGCTGATTGATCATTATCTAGGGCACAACACAGAGGACCCAGCTCTCGAAGGAACTTGTTCTGGGTAAGAGCCCTGCCCCCCTCCCCCGAGGCAATAAATTTCTGTAACTTTCCTTGGAATCATGAAAGTACAAGTCAGCTCCAAAGAAAGGATCCTGGACCTGGGGGCCTCTACATTCAGCCTGGAGCCGAATAAGCCACTGATGGGATTGTCTTAAATACACTGCAGATTAAGGTCACCCTTTTATTCAGCACATCTTCATGCACTGCCCTGCAGAGATGACTTCGTTTCTTGTATGTTCTGGTATTACTAGCCAGTTCCTCGAATGCATTCAGATAAAAGCTCTGTCAGCCGTCCTTTGGTATTTTGGTGGCACAGGCAAATTCATAGGTAAGAATCGATGTATTAATTGACCCAGATTACCAGGTACCCCAAAGTTCATCTTATGTCTGCTTTAAAACCTCATTCCTTCAGGGAGTGAGAACTGCATGTCACATCAGTTTCTGTAAGTTCCTCTCCACGCTCCTCACGTGGACAGTTATACAGACTTAGCTATCTTGCTGACTCTTTAGCAAGTCAGGCGTGGAGGGCAAGGCCGAGGGCACGGCACTTTACACCCTCTGTCCCTAGGTGCCCCTCTGGGACAGAGTCCTTCAGCACCCTTGTCATGTGCCTGCTGTTTATGAAAGTAGGGGGACCCCTTCCACAGGCGCCCGGCCTAAAGAGAAAGGGATTCAAAAGAATACCCAGGTCCCCTTCTCTGATGGCAACTTCCCAATAGCGAAGAGATAAGATGCTTAGATGTTAGTACACGGTTGACATTTGCACATGACCTGTGGTGTATTTCCACGCTCACACGCACATGGCCAGAACTGCTGGCTCTTCCGTTTGCATCAAACGTGGGGTCAATTCTCCGTGCCGTTGCTCGGAGCCACTGAGTGGTGCTGAGTATGGCACGCTGGAGTGGAGGCCGTGCTTACAGTTTCGTGTATAAAAAGTCACGGTGCAGGGTGACCCATCATCCCGCCTACACAAGCTCCGCTTCAGTCCTCAGCCCGGATCCTTCCCGCCTGCTGGAGTCCTCACTTTGCCAGGTGGGGGTGAGAGCACGGGGGGAGCACTGACGGCAGGTACTTCCTTCAGCATCGTGGAGGTGCTGCCCCCGGCTTTGCCCTTGCTGAACAGGGACGACTAAGCTCACTTACCGGGTTTAGTATCTCCAGGAAACGCCCTCTGGGGAATTGTGGTTTCTGTTTAAATCAGTTCTTTATCAAGTTAGCCATGGGGGATGGTAAACTGCAGTTTCTTGTCCTGACTCACCCCACCCCCCCCCCCCCCCCCCCCCCCGCCAGGGTTTTCCTGAAGGTAGAGGGAGGTCTTGAAAGGTTGTGGGCAGTGCCCGAGGCTGAGTCCACAGGCAGTGCTGGGGCATTGTGGAAAGTGGGCGCTGCTGATGCCTGGGCATTGCAACATCATTTCGTCCTTCGTAGGGTTTTTATACTGTAATGAAGTCTTGGTTTCACCTCTGGAACTTCAAGGCAGAGTGAGTTAGACTTGAGCGTGTGGTGTGTATTTAGGTAAAAAGAGTCAACGGATCTTGGAAGCACAGAAACGTGCTCTTGTTCAGTCATCACTGAGATGAACGGAGACGCTCACAGCCGCCGTGGCCATGTGCCCACTGCTGTGCCCACAGCCGCCTGAGTCAAGGCCTGGGGAAAGGGGGTCCTGGCTGCTTTTGAAAGGTGATGTGGTCCCCTGTCCTGTTTGAGTATATTGTTAATCAACCAAACTTGTATGACAAATAATCTCTTTAATGATACTTGCTGTGTGCAAGGACACCCAAGGCGAAGCTAACAGCAGGCGTCTTCCTGCCTCTGATGCAGCAGATTGGGAGGCTCTGGACCGTGTCCCCTAACGCTTCTGTCAAGTAGTTAGAACGGCGTCCTGGTTCTAAATGTCAGGCCCAGAAGAAAGCTTCTGGCCGGTTATAGAATTGGGAGGAAAGAGGGAGGCGATGCAGAATCCGAAACAGGTGATTCAGATCACGTTTAGGTCATTTATTCTGGGAAGGATTTCTCTGATCTCCTGCAGGACTGGATGGTGATGTCATACGATCAGACACTTTGAGGTACAAGCCCAGTGGTAGCAGTTCTCCATCTTTAATGCTCGTCACCATTACTGTGGCTTGAAATGCAACCCTGGACTCGGCCTGGGCCACCAAGCCAGCCTCTGCAGGGCTGGGGCCTGCTCATGGCTGGCTTTGGTTTTGGTTTTCCCACGTCTACAAATGATTCACATGCTCTGTCCTGTCCCTGCGCCCAGAGCAGAGCCCTGCACGGTCTGCGCTCGGGATATCTGCCGAACGAGTGAATGAACACACTGAAGGCTCAGATGCCCCGTGTGCATATAATTCATGGTCAAGAGCATAAGCTGTGGGGTCAGCAAGACCTGCCTGCACTTGCTATGTGACCTGAAGCCCTTTACTGACTTCTCTGAGCCTCTGCTTTCTCAGCAAGAAATGCTCCAGAACGGGTGTGGGTGGGACCTTTCCAGACTGCCTGTGTGTCTTCAGCACTGAGCACGGGGCCCACTCTCCCCCTGCAGCGTCACATAGATTGAAACTGGCTCTAAAGTACCCTTTCCTTTCCTTTAGGAAGTCTGACTATATTTCCCCACTAGATGACTTGGCCTTTGACATGTACCAGGATCCGGAAGTGGCACAGATTATCCGCAGGTTAGATGAAAGGAAGCGCGAGGCGGCCCAGAGGGAGCGCTACGACGACGCCAAGACGCTCAAGCAGGCCATCGCCGACCTGCAGAAGGTACTGCCTGTGGGGAAGGCGGCGGCTCCGTGTCTAACTGCCCTGGTTCCTGCTCAGCAAACGGCAGGCCTCTGAAGGCTGCAGGGTTAGCGTGGGTTCAGGGGCGTAGCACATGAAGGACAGCAAGAGCACATACTCCTGCAGAGCCCTCCTCAGGGCCACGGCCACAGGAAATGTAACATGTTTAAACTCCCGTGAGCTCTCAGGTGGCGATGGCCCATTCCCTCCATCCCCCGTGACGTTCCCCTCTCCCCCCGACACGGAGTTGGTCGCCCACACTGTCCTCAAAGCGTTACTTTAAAACTGTCTTTGCACCTCGCGTGAGTCAGTCCACATGCGAAGCCAAAGCCAACACCGTGTGCTTCAGGTCGGGGAGCGGCTGGGCAGGTACGAGGTGGAGAAGCGCCGTGCCGTGGAGAAGGAGGACTACGACCTGGCCAAGGAGAAGAAACAGCAGATGGCGCGCTACCGCAGCCAGGTGTACGGGCGGCTGCAGCTGCACGGGCTGGTGGACGCCGAGCTGGTGGGTGGCGGGGCCCACAGCTGGGCCCAGGGACCGGGAGAGCCGTTGCGGGGTCCACGAGGGTGGTTGCGCGTTCCGCAAAACGGAAGACTTTGTCAGGCTCAGGCGACAGCAGCGACAGTGGGCCCGTGTCGTAGGCCTGGCCTTGACGCACTCTTGCAGGATTTGCAGAGGCGGAGACAGGGCAGGTCGGGTGGGAAGGCTTCCCGGTGGGCCACTGCATCTCCTGTTGGCAGCCCTGCCCACACAGCCCCCGGGAGTGGGGCGAGAGAGCACCACCCTGACAGCTCAGGCTGGGTGGGGGCGGGTCTCATGTCCGGAGCCCACATTCCAGGCTGGGACGCAGGCCCGGCACCCAGAGGGCAGTGCAGGGAGTGCCGCCTCTGGCACTCGCTGCCAGACCCCGGGTTCCGTTCCTCCGTCCAACTCTGTAGTCTCAGACTCATTCCTTGGCCTCTTTGTGCCTCGGTTTCCCCATCCCATCCACGGGGGTGAGAACAGGGAGCCTCAGGTGCGGTCGTCTGCCTGGAGCGCTTGCTCCTGGCCCAGCACATGGCCACCACTGAGTCCGTTGCACTCGTTCAGGTGACACGAAGTAGCCTGCTTTGCAGACACGGAGTGACCAGCACAGGCCTCTCGGGTCCAGCTGGGTGCTCCCTGCCCGCCTGTGGCCTCCCCACCACAGCACCCCGTGCACAGATGCTCATGGCCACGCTGGTGTTTTGGTCCAGGTGTCACTGGAGTGGTCCACACAGTAACCATCCAGAGACAGTCGGGGGCAGTGACATGGCTATGGGACCTCGTCAGTGTGGGTTTCCCCCTCTGCCTTCCCAAACTAGCGCTCCCCTGGGGGAACAAGGGGTGTGTCTGGTGGGGCAGTGACACTAGGGATTGAATGGCCTGTTTCTCCCCAGATACGAAGGCCTCTGGACTTGCCCCTCCAGCCCCTGGTCCGTTCCAACAGCCCTCGCCACCAGCAGCCCACGCTCTCACTGCCACAGCCAGAAGAAAGGGGGACAGAAAACCAGTTTGCAGACCCTTTCCTTCAGGAGAAGGCTTCATCGCATCCCCTGGACATTTCTCCTCAGCATTGCGTGGTGGACCGGTCACCCCCCGCCGCAGGTCCCCCTCCCAAGGCCCATGTAGGTAACTCATGTTCACGCTGTGGGCAGTTTATTCCACATGTATGTAGTGGGGACCCACATCATGCCGGGTGCTTTCTCGGGGCAAGGGATGTATCAGGGTACAGAACAGTGACAGCCTTACCCACACTGCGTCAAGAAGAGGGGCAAAAAAGCTGCGGCCGGAACATCGGCCAATGGCTGAGACACACTTCATCCTCTGAGCCTCTGTTTTTCTCTTTGCAAAGATGTACAGACGTCTTCTTAAAGGGTAGTTTCCAGGATTAAATGAGACAATATTCGTCAGGTTCCTACCCTGGCCTGACCTTAGTAGAGCCTCGGTACAAGTCGTATCCAGTTACCGTACCTGTTAGAACCTCCTGTGTGGCAGGGGACAGAAAACCTGGTTCAAACTGGGGGTTATTGGCGTTTATAACTGGGAATTTTAAGAGGTCATGTGGGTTCCAGGGTTGGTTTGATTTCTGTCTTGCGAGTCTGTTTTCTGTGGTTCTGAGGCGCCCTCTCGGAAGGCCGGGCTCATCACGTGGCCTCAGCTTCAGGTCTGTACGCTGTGCCATCTGGGGGAGAGCATGCGTCCCATTCTAAGCAGAGTCCCCGGGTTAACCCTGCTTAGATCGGCCTCAGTCACTTGCCACCTCAGGAGCAGTGCCGAGGACCAGAGGGGGCAAAGGTGGCGACTGGCCTGTGAGGGCCTCCCTGGAGCCCCTGCCGTGCATGGCCATGTGGCCAGTAGACCCTGGGGAGGAAGGAAGGCTGCCAGGCGGGCACAGACAAGTGCCGACGGCAGCCAGAGGCCCAGGAAAGCTGGAGAGGCCCACAGCTGCCACACGGCCCCCACACCCTCGTGCCGCTGGCTCTCCCAGGGCGTGTCTGTGAGCATTGCCATCCTCCCTCTCCCTCTAGTGATATCTTGTCTGTAACTTGTTATGTTTCACACTTCAATCTAAAAGTACTCTAATTTCTCCTTTTTTAGTACCTCAATGTGTTTTGTTTTACAAGTGTGAGTACATTTTAAAAGATGAGAAACTAAATCTCACATGTGTTGTACACCCAGTTAAGACCTCAGCAAGTATTAAGTATGAATAAACGGTCCTCCTTGTCTGTTCAGTGTCACCGTGACACCTTCCTCAGAAAGTGACTCTGGAATCGCTCTTTCTGCCCTCAGTTACCTGGAAGTCTGTGACGTGTGTACTTGTTTAATGTATATCTGTCTCCCCCTGAGAACGAGGCCCACCGAGGGCGGGGAGTCTGTCTTCCCATCGCTCTTCGTGGGTCACCAAGAACAGAGCCCAGGAAATGTCTGCTGCAGGGTGCAGACAAAGGTGAATAAGGATCTGGAGCTTTGGCTGCCTGTGTTACTTCAAGGCTGCTGGGTACTGGATGCGTTTAAAATGAGGCTTGAGAGTTGTTTCTCAGAAATAAACTAATAAACTAAGAAAATGCCAAGGGTCTTGCCAGAAAAAAACTGTAATGACCTTTACTGTAGTGACCTACTGTCAGCTGAACTGAAATCACTAGTTGTAAACAGTAATCGCGGCAGAATCTACATTGCTTGTTTATTAGGTCTGTAGTAAGTTTAGAAGGGAATAAAACCCCTGATCTAATTCTTTTTCAATTACACCCTATGGTATAAATTATTCTAACTTGACGAGACTGATATTTAGCGAAATACCATCATTCTGACCAGGTAAGTCCCAAGCAGTCAGCCCATGGGTGTAGACGGGGGGGTCAGTATGTGGGGAGGATCCTGCACCGAGCCCGGCAGCCGCCCTGTCCTCCCGCAGCTCGAGTCCCTGCCCTACGATGAGCGGCCCCTTCCCGCGACCCGCAAGCAGCCTGGGGCAGTGGCCACGGAGCCAGAGACGAGGGACACGGACAGCAGCGAGCCTCCCAGAGCGGGCACCATGGGCGAGCCTGAGCCTCTAACAGAGAAGGCCTTGCGCGAAGCCAGCTCCGCCGTGGACGTGCTGGGAGAGGCCTTGGTAAGAACAGAAGCTCGTATAAACAGCCTGCAAACAACGGGCGGGGGCGGGCGGCTCCACAGGGCTCCCAGGCTTGCTGGTCCTGATGCTGCAACTGCCCTTTGTCCTCACTGTTCAATGGAAAAGTCTTTTGATAGTTACTCCTTACGTGAAGCAGCACAAGCGTAAGCTAGAATTTCAGATTTCATGACAAGTATCCATTTAAGCCTGGGCCTGGTTTGTGGTGTTGACAGGGCTGGGGTCCAACACCAGCTCCCGCCTGAGAACAGCACCAGCTCCAGGGAAGAGGACAGCAGAGCAAACAAAACATGAGCGTGTCACCAGCCTCAAAAGAGTCTCGTGCTGGAACTTTTAATATGTTCCATGTTTTAACATAAACTTAAATTTTCCACGTTAGGAAGAGTATTTCTCCAAATACACATACCTAGTGGGTGGAGGTCCTGTTATTAGAAAAGGTGTGTCTTGGTTTAAAACAAACCAAGGCCAGGAGTGCAAGGTGCAGGCTGCCGGGGCTGCTGGGGAGGGGATGTGGCCAAGTGCCCACTCTGAGGGGCCGGCTCCCGCCCTCCCAGGTGGCCGGGGCCTATTCCAAAACATGGTCGCACCGGGAGGACGCGCTGCTCGCCCTGTATAAACAGCTGATGGATGCACCGGCAGCAACCCCAAAGGAAGACCTGAAGAGCACGCTGAGGGCAGCCGTATTCCTCACCAGGAGAGCTGTCCGAGACATCGTGACCCCAGTGAGTCCCCGCCCGCCCCTCAGGGGCCCCATGTCTGCCAGAGAGCTGCCGGGATGTCCCCAGGAGGTCAGGGTAGCCCAAGAGGCAGCCTGGTCCCCAGTACCATTGTCACCTAGCATGTGGTGTCACTAGGAATGAAGCTCTCGAGGAAGGAATGTGGTCGCTAAGGAGTCTGAGGTCTGTACCCGTGGGCCATGCCCTCTAGTCCATGTGTACAGAGGCCTGGCCACCACGACTGATACATGCCCCTTTATGTTTTTGTTCTTCATGACACCTGAGGAGCTTGGGAGTTAGCACCGACTTCTCCTGACCCTGAGAGGGCCTTAAGAATGAACATCCCACAATTACACTGTCGTCTGCATTCACACAGGAGCTCATGCAGTTCAGCAGTAATGTCAGATATTTGGCTCATGGAGAGATGTCGGGGACTTTATGACACGTGGGAGATAAGAGCCTGTGCCTTCCATGTGCAGGGAACTGTGCTCACAGAGCAGTTTTCAGTTGGCCATTTCCAGTCCTTCAGAGAGCATGTAGTTTTCAGCGTAACGTTTGTGTTTATAACTAATAGTAAATTTCATGTTTTCTTTTGGTGGAATTCAGTGAGAGTGGATCATCTGTTTTTATCACTTTTTTCTTAGGTCTTTCAGGCATCTTTGAAATTGTTGAAAATGTTAATCACACAATATATTCCTAAACATAAACTGGGTAAGCTTGAAACAACTCACTGTGTGGAAAGGACCATTCCTGTTCTGCTCACGAGAACTGGAGATTCTTCTGCTCGCCTCCGTGTTATAGCTTCCAATTTTATTCAGGTATGAATTTCACCACAGAATTTGAAACCATAAATAATAAACATATAACTACAGATACTTGACTTTCTTAATACCTTACAAGATCCTGTCAACCCAAGAGCATCATAGATTATCCTCAGTGATTCACCATCATATTTTCCTTATGTTCTAAACCAGGTAAATGTTGCCTTAAACATGATTAAAATGTACAGTTTGCTTTTTCTAGTGTTTTTCTTATTCAACGTACACTATTTTTTAAATAAATAAAAATATATGGAGAATTAGAATAGAAAAATGGGGTAAAAAAAAAGATGTGTAATGGTCTTGATCTAAATATTTTTATTCTTTCAGCAAACACACCTCCTCTAGCCTGGGCGCTGGGGGAAGCTAAGATAGAAGTGAGCGTTTAAGAGTTTGGGGCGCACCGCACTGTGCGGCTTGCGGGATCTTTGTTCCCCAACCAGGGGTTGAACCTGAGCCACCGTGGTGGGAGTGCCAAGTCCTGGCCACTGGACCGCCAGGGAATTCCCAGCCCCAGGGAATATTAATCATCGTGAGCTCTCCTGGAGGTCCCTGTCTTGGCACTGAGACCCAGCTTCACCCAACAGCCTGCAGGCTCCAGTGCTGGAACACCTCAGGCCAAACAACTAGCAAGAAAGGAACACAGCCCTACCCATTAGCAGACAGGCTGCCTAAAGTCATACTAAGCTCAGAGACACCCCAAAACACACCCCTTGACACAACCCTGCTCACCAGAGGGACAAGACCCAGCTCCACCCACCAGGGGGCAGACACCAGGAGCAAGAGGAACTACCACCCTGTAGCCTGTGAAAGGAGACCACGTATTCAGTAAATTAGAAAGAAGAGAAGACAGAGAAATATGCTGCAGACAAAGGAGCAAGGTTAAAACCTACAAGAACAACTAAATGAAGAGGAAATAGGCAGTCTACCTGAAAAAGAATTCAGAGTGATGGTAATAAAGATGATCCAACATCTCAGAAAAAGAATGGAGGCACGGATGGAGAAGATACAAGAAATGTTTAACAAGGACCTAGAAGAACTAAAGAACAAACAAACAGTGATGAACAACACAATAACTGGAATGGGAAATACACTAGAAGGAATCCATAGCAGAATAACTGAGGCAGAAGAATGGATAAGTGAGCTGGAAGATAAAATGGTGGAAATAACTGCCAAGGAGCAGAATAAAGGAAAAAGAATGAAAAGAATTGAGGACACTCTCAGAGACCTCTGAGACAACATTGAACACACCAACATTCAAATTATAGGGGTCCCAGAAGAAAAAGAGGGGACTAAGAAAAGATTTGAAGAGATTATAGTTGAAACCTTCCCTAACATGGGAAAGGAAATAGTCATCCAAGTCCAGGAAGCACAGAGAGTCCCATACAGGATAAACCCAAGGAGAAACATGCCAAGACACATATTAATCAAACTAACAAAAATTAAATACAAAGAAAAAATATTAAAAGCAACAAGGGAAAAGCAACAAATAACATACAAAGGAATCCCCAGAAGGTTATCAGCTGATTTTTCAGCAAAAACTCCACAGGACAAAAGGGAATAGCAGGATATATTTAAAGTGATGAAAGGAAAAGACGTACAACCAAGAATACTTTACCCAGCAAGGCTGTCATTCAGATTTGACAGAGAAATCAAAAGCTTTTCAGACAAGCAAAAGCTAAGAGAATTCAGCACCACCAAACCAGCTTTACAACAAATGCTAAAGGAGCTTCTCTAGGTTGGGGGTGGGGGGGGCGGGGTGGTAGAAATATTCTTGTTTCTACAAACAAGGAAACTAAGAAATGGGAAAGCTTGCTAGTAAAGGCAAACATACACTAAAAGGAGCAAATCATCCACACACAAATATGATTTCAAAACCAGCAATCGTGAGAAGAGGAGAGCACAAATGCAGGAAATGGGAATTGCATTGGAAAGTAACAGACCAGCAACTTAAAACAACCTTGTTTATATATAGACTGCTATATAAAACCTCATGGGAGGGCTTCTCTGGTGGCTCAGTGGTTGAGAATCTGCCTGCCAATGCAGGGGACACGGGTTCGAGCCCTGGTCTGGGAAGATCCCACATGCCGCGGAGCAACTAGGCCCGTGAGCCACAACCACTGAGCCTGCACATCTGGAGCTTGTGCTCCGCAACAAGAGAGGCCACGACAGTGAGAGGCCCGCGCACCGCGATGAAGCGTGGCCCCTGCTCGCCACAACTAGAGAAAGCCCATGCACAAAAACGAAGACCCAACACAGCCAATAAATAAATAAATAAATAAAAATTTTTTAAAAACCTCATGGGAAATGCAAACCAAAAAAACTACGATACACAAAATAGAAAAAGCAACCTAAATACAACACTAAAGATGGTCATCAAACTACAAAAGAGAATAAAAGCAAAAGGGAAGGAAAAAGATCTACAAAAACAAACCCAAAACAAGAAGATGGCAATAGGAACGTACATATTGATAATTGCCTTAAATATAAATGGATTAAATGCTCCAACCAAAAGACACAGACTGGCTGCATGGATACAAAAACAGAACCCATATATACACTGTCTACAAGAGACCCACTTCAGACCTAGGGACACATGCAGACTGAAAGTGAGAGGACATAAAAAGATATTCCATGCAAATGGAAATCAAAAGAAAGCTGGAGTAGCAATACTCATATCAGACAAAATAGACTTTAAAGACTGTTACAAGAGACAAGGAAGGACACTACATAATGATCAAGGGATCGATCCATGAAAAAGATATAACAGTTGTAAATATTTATGCACCCAACATAGGAGCACCTCAATACATAATGCAAACGCTAACAGCCATAAAACGGGAAAGCGACAGTAACACAATAATAGTAGTGGACTTTAACACCCCACTTTCACCAATGGACAGATCATCCAAAATGAAAATAAATAAGGAAACACAAGCTTTAAATGGCACATTAAACAAGGTGGACTTAATTGATATTTATAGGACATTCCATCCAACAACAACAGAATACACTTTCTTCTCAAGTGCTCATGGAACATTCTCCAGGATAGACCATATTTTGGGTCACAAATCAAGCCTTGGTAAGTTTAAGAAAATTGAAATTGTATCAAGTATCTTTTCCGACCACAACGCTGTGAGACTAGATATCAGTTACAGGAAAGAAACTGTAAAAAATACAAACACATGGAGGCTCAACAACACACTACTGAATAACCAAGAGATCCCTGGGGAAATCAGAAAATATCTAGAGACAAATGACAGTGAAAACACAACAATCCAAAACCTGTGGGACACAGCAAAAGCAGTTCTAAGAGGGAAGTTTACAGCACTACAGTCTTATCTCAGGAAACAGGAAAAATATCAAATAAACAATCTCACCTTACACCTGAAGCAACTAGAGAAAGAAGGTCAAAACCCAAAGTTAGTAGAAGGAAAGAAATCATAAAGATCAGAGCAGAAATAAATGAAATAGAGACAAAGAAAAAGATAGCAAAGATCAATGAAACTAAAAGCTGGTTCTTTGAGAAGATAAACAAAATTGATAAACCTTTAGCCAGACTCCAAGAAAAAAAGGGAGAGGACTCGAATCAATAAAATTAGAAATAAAAAAGGAGAAGTTACAACAGACACCATAGAAATACAAAGGATCATAAAAGACTACTACAGGCTGCTATATGCCGATAAAATGGACAACCTAGAAGAAATGGACAAATTTTTAGAAAGGTACAGCCTTCCAAGACTGAACCAGGAAGAAATAGAAAATATGAGCAGACCAATCACAAGTACTGAAATTGAAACTGATTTTAAAACTTCTAACAGGGAATTCCCTGGTGGTCCAGTGGTTAGGAGTCTGTGCTTCCACTGCAGGGGGCACGGGTTCCATCCCTGGTTCATGTACAGCATGAACAAAAACAAAAGTCCAGGATGAGATGGCTTCATCGGCTAATACTATCAAACATTTAGAGAAGAGTTAACACCTATCCTGCTGAAACTCTTCCAAAGAATTGCAGAAGGAACACTCCCAGGCTCATTGTATGAGGCCACCGTCACCCTGATACCAAAACCAGACAAAGATACTACAAAAAAAGAAAAGAAAATTACAGGCCAATATCACTGATGAACATAGACGTAATCCTCAACAAAATGCTAGCAAACCAAATCCAACAACACATTAAGAGGATCATACACCATGATCAAGTGGGATTTATCCTAGGGGTGCAAGGTTTCTTCAACATATGCAAATCAATCAATGTGATACACCATATTAACAGTCTGAAGAATAAAAACCATATGACCATCCCAGTAGATGCAGAGAAAGCTTTTGACAAAATTCAACACCTATTTATGATAAAAACTCTCCAGAAAGTGGGCATAGAGGGAACCTACCTCAACATAATAAAGGTCGTATACGACGAACCCATAGCAAACATCATTCTTAATGGTGAAAAACTGAAAGCATTTCCTCTAAGATCAGGAACAAGACAAGGGTGTCCTCTCTCACCAGTTTTATTCAACACAATTTTGGAAGTCCTAGCCATGGCATTCAGAGAAGAAAAAGAAATAAAAAGAACCCAAATTGGAAAAGAAGAAGTAAAACTCTCACTGTTTGCAGATGACATGATACCATACCTAGAAAATCCTAAAGATGCTACCAGAAAACTACTAGAGCTCATCAATGAAATTGATGAAAATGGCAGGATACAAAATTAAAGTTGCAGGATACAAAATTAATACACAAAAATCTCTTGCATTCCTGTACACGAAGAATGAAAGATCAGAAAGAGCAATTCAGGAAACAATTCAATTTACCTTTGCAACAAAAAGAATAAAATACCTAGGAATAAACCTACCTAAGTAGACAAAAGACCTATATGCAGAAAACTCTAAGACACTGATGAAAGAAATCAAAGAAGACACAAACAGGTAGATATACCATGTTCTTTGATTGGAAGAATCAATTTTGTCAAAATGACTATACTACCCAAAGCAATCTACAGA